CCTGGAAAATGTTTTCTTATTGGATTTACAAAAGAGGCTTGTTAAAGCCTTGAAGAAATCTGTACGATGGGATAAAGAGAAGAGAAATCAAATCCTACAACAATATTTGGTTGAATGAAAGATTAAGACTGTTAGAAGTAAAAGGAAGGAATATAAAGTTGGTGTATTTAATCAAGGTTAAAAAAAGACTTTTTTTTTTTTTTGCAAAGTTCTGGCAACCCTTTATGAACTTTTTGCTGACACCAGGATTGAAAAGTTGATGCTATATGGATTTGCTCATAGATAAGGGATGGGATATGGGGTGAAGAGATATGTTTGTAACCTTAAAGGGGGTGAAGAGTTACTAAATTTGTTTATACTTGTGATGAAAGTTGGAAGTCACTTCTTTATATATTTATTTTCTTTTGTATATTCTTTCTTTTCTCTTTCTTCTTTCTTTTTCCTGTACTTTTTATTTTTATTTTATATTCTCCTTCTCTAAGTTTAGTTTCTATTAGTTTTTACTATTGTAATCAAAATTCTTAATAAAAATTACATTTAAAAGAAGAAGAAAAGAACATGTAGAAACAAAAAAGTGCATATAGCGTCATACATTTTTGTTTGAAGTGGAAACAGCTTATCTGGCCAAAAGGTGTTCTTTTCCAGAAACTGAACAAACATACGCAATCAGCCTTTGAAATTTGTTGATGTAACCGTAAGTCAAGGGCTGGAGAACTTAAATCAAATTCTTGCCATGCCCCAGTCCTTGGGGAGTCTGGACAGGCCACTGCCTTTCTGCAGCTGCATATTAAAAATATTATCTACATTATTCCCATACAGTAGTCAGAATGCTGGCAGAAGATGAGAGAGGCCAAGCTTCAAATTCTCATTTAGCTCACCTAGGAAGAGTTAATATTATCCCAACCTCACCTACTTCACAGGAATGTTGTGGAGATAAATTGTGGGAATCAAGAGTTATTAAGCTTGGGGCGGGGGGGGGAAGTTATTAAGCTTGAGGAGAGAATATTATTCTAATAAAAAACAAACAATGCCTATAGCTGTCTTTTTATTTCCACAAAGAATGCTAGAGAATCAGTTAATATTTTAAATATATTTTAGTAAAATGGTAACTCAGGTTCAACAGAAACAGTTTATCCTTATTCCAGTTAGAAAATTCACTTAAAACAGCCTTCTCCAATATGTTGTACTCTAGATGTGAAATAACAATAATAAAAATAATAGTAATATGATCCCAGCAAGCATGGATGCTGGTTAAGTCTTCTAAGCACTTCAGTTCCAAACCATCTGAAAGACTTCAGTGTTTAGCTCACACAGATTGAAAAGTCATCCTCAAATCAAAGGAACTGTTAAATACATTTTGCTTTAAAATGGCTCTAAACATACTGTTCTAAGCTGGCTTGACATCCTTTTGGGCTCTGCCAGGTTTCTCCCACAGTCTTCCAACTTTATCTGAACTGAAGAAACCAGTTGCAACCAGAATTGCAGTAAAAACGCTAGTTACATGTGTTTTATTTATTTATATACTTTATATGGCTGCCCAACCTGAACATTTAGACTGTGAGCTGCTTACAACCAAAGATGTTGTAATATCGTTAAATTCCACCTAAGAAGTTTTGGTTTCAGTGGCATTTTCTGCACTTAGAGTCTGAACCTGATTTCAACAGGACTTACTTTCAAACTTCATTGAATATATTAGGACTAATTTCTAAGTCAACATTCATAATTCGGGTAAAACATTTCCCCACCTAGCCTCCAGTACTGAAAGAGAGAATTGTTACACTTAAGTTTCCTTGAGATTCTGATTGCTAGAGAGCCACCCAAATCATACTAAAAGGCAGAAGTGGATCCATTCCCAATCCAATATTTTTTCTACACACACAGAGAAGTTTTTATTGTATTTAACTGAGCTTTATGGAACCTTTAAAAACATAAAAAATAACCCTTTGAGTATTTTGTTTTTGTTTGGTTGATAAAATTTTATTTATTCCCTCAAAGGCTAGTTAGCAGGTTTAGTGTGAGCCCTTTAAATGTATACACATAAAATAGTCTCTGGTTTTCAGCCTCTTTCAACCACTACTAGCAAAACTGAAGGAAAAAATCCTTTGCTGCTGTAGAAAGAGGAAATACTGTGATTATGAATTTCTGGACCAAACTAGTTTTGCAGTACCTTTTAAAATTTACCTTTCAAGTCAATTTTAGATTGTGTGTGAGAACTTGACATACATGAGTCAGTGAAGAAACTCACAGGAGCCATCAGTGAACTAGCACAGTATACCACGCAGTTCTAATAATCCAGCAAAAATTATCTTTCCTCGGGAGCCTAAGAGACCTGACAGCATGAAAAAGCATTCTCCTCTTCCACCCTGAAAGGGGGGAAACAGTAGAAATCCAAGCTTAGAACATTCAGACTAAAGATTGCAAACTGCCAACTCGGAGGGGGAAGCGGCTGCAGGGACTCCGGTTTCTGCAGAGGGACGCTGCTAGCTCTGTCTTGAGCACTTGCAAGTACCGGCAGCCTATTGAGTCATCAGCATCACCCATTGCAACAAGGACAGTTCGGCTTCCGGGAGATTACGAGTCTCTAGTGCATATACAACAGCAGCCAGCCAGCCACACACCCAAACTGGCAGAAACCTGTTCTGCCCGGATCGGCTCTAACGGCGGCAGCACCACGAGCTTGAACCTGGGAAAGAAGCTCGCGCCGCCGCGGAGAAAAGAGCACGCGCCGAGGCTCGCGCCCGGCACCGCTCCGCTGAGGCAGTTCAATCGCTAGGAGGCGCTACCCGAGTTCCCCATTTTAGGACGCGCCAAAGCAAATAAGATTACGCTTCTTTAAAAGCCGTCATGGGAATACGAACACCAAGTACGGTACTTGGTATCCCAAGGAAAGTGGTGGGTTGCATCAACTCCGAGCCGATTAACGCGATGCACTGTGACAATTTGGCGCAATGTTTTCTTTAGTAATTTCGTTCGCCCTGCGTGAGACTGTTTCACGCAAGGTTCTGCACTGGAAACGTAGTGGTTAAACTAGGAACTTCAACTGAGAAGCTGCAAAGAGCTACTTCGGTGCCGTTTCAAGCAGCCAGACTCGGCCCCTCTTTAGGGAGCGGCGGCGGGGGCGGCCTTCCGATCTGAGCACGAGCCGCGTTCGCTCGAGCGGCTTCGCCGTTCCATCAGATTTTCCGCCAGGAACTCTAGCAAAGCTCGGGCATCAACGAAAGCCCACGCCTCCTCTTCTTTGTACGCGCCTAGAAAAGCTCCTCTGGGGACATTTAGCAACCCCTGCCATTTCTCTTTTAAAGAAATGCAGACGCTGCAGGGCGGGCATCGGGAGAAAGAAGTTCGCGCAGACAGAAAAAGTAAAAGGCGGATGTCTTCCGCTTCGCGCTCTCTGCTGTTTACCTTAAGTGACCTCACCCAGAACTGCAAATGAGGCGCTGATCTAGACTAACCAAGCGGTTCCTCCGCGGTCGCCTTCGCTTACAGTCCCTACATAATACTCGAACTGAATTTCCCCTTGCCTCCCACCCAGCCGCCAAAGCCTTCCTCTGCAAATTCACGCACTGATCAAGACACCGGAGCGGAAACCATGCAAGAGGGGGAGCGCAGGGTGCTACCTTTACAGTACAGACTGTTAAGAAGTATCTGGACAAACTTGTTAGCGGAGCCTCCCCTGCTGGACGCTCGAAAAAAGGGGCGGACGGGAAAGACTGCAGAGATACGCCTTGGGAAACGAGACGCACTCAGGCGAGGGGCTTCTGGCTGAGGCGAGATGTTCAGGGATGAGCTAAACAATTGATTCCGAAACATATTTTCCCAAGCTGCACAGTGAGGCTTACTTTTGAATAAAGATGCCTAGCCTCTATGAAAAGGGGGGAGTTTATACGACGCCCCATTTAGAACATATTTTACTAATGGGGGAAAGGTTTTCCCCGTTAGTAAAATGGGGAGAAGTTTTTCCTCTCCGCCGCTTCCCAAAAAGGAAGGAACTACATGAAAAAGGGACGGCGAAAGTCTCTTTAAAGGCGCGTGTCTGGACTGTAGTTTATCGAATTGCATCAGTTTTAAGGCATTATAAGGAGGGGGAAGGTGTCACGAAGGACAGCAAACGTGGCAGAGCCGGTCCACTCCAAATGAAACTCGTCCTCCCCCACCTTTTCCCGGGGTTTGCAGCTTCCTCTCCAACGCTACTGTGCTTAGGTCGCGGCTCCTACTGCCGCCCGGCGCGCACAGAGCGCGCCTCCCTTCCGAGCGCGCGGAACCCGCCAGCTCTTCTGCTGCAATTGCAAAACCGGGCCCGGCGCGCACATGGCGCTGCTGAGCTACAGCGCGCGCCGGATCCGCCGGTAGAGACCGGCTGGAGCCGGTATAAAAAGCAGAGCTACTGTAGTGAACTAGAAGAGACGGCAGCATTTGTGAAAAAGAGCAGGAGAGAGCGGGGAGTGAATGCTGAGATTGCTAGTCAGGCAAAGGGCAGAATCCCCTGAAAACTCAGGAGCAAAGGAGGCACCGGTTGGCCATGGGGCAGCCTTGGCACCGGCAGCGAGAGCCTAGCGTCGGATAACCAGCAAGACTCCTAGCCACTATTTCCCGTTGAAGGGGTCTATTTTAGGCGCAGGGCAGGCTCCACCTTTTCCAAAAGGGGTCAGGAGTATAAGTCTGAGGCGATTGCAGCCCCCTTCCCGTGCCTTCTGGAGCTGAGTCTTTGGTTCGCGCTCCTGAGGGCGAAGGGTTGGGTGTTCCAGCAGTCACCTCAGCATGTTGCTGACCAGGTCATAGGCCAAAGCTGCTCTTCTCTGCAGCTTGGGGGGATCCTTTTCTTCCACATCTTTCTCTCCCCAAGTTGCAGCAGCAACACCTTCTACTGACCTGGTAAGTGACTTTTCTTCTGGGCACAAGTTTGGTTGTCTTGCTGTCGCTTTTTTTTAAAACGTTAATTATTGTTTTAATCAAAAGAGCATCCGTCTCTCTAAAAGAAAGGGAGAGGATGGGATCCGATTGGAAGAAAGTGGTTGAACTGTGCCTTGAAGGTCGCACAAGAGATGAAGATACAGTATTGGGCCTCCTTGTGAGTGCTCACTTCCCACGCTCTACATCGCATAGACTGGGAGCTTGAAACCGAGGGGTTATTCTTCCATTCGGAAGAAAACATTTTTTTTCCAGGAAAACCTCGTTCCGTATAAAATAGCTCTCCCCCCCCCCTTGTCTCTAAAGAAAAAGGAAAAAACACACTTTGCACGGGGTTATTTATGCAAGGCGACAGGGCAGCACATATTTGCATTCTATCAATGCGCTTTAAACCGGATTGAGGATAACCGCATGGCGCAACGTGGCCGCTAAAATTCCGTTCCGCGCTATTGAATTCTGCAGGCATCACATCTCCACTAAACAAAGCACTTGGATTCCACGTATCTCTCTTTTACGCTGCACTTTTCTGAGCAGCAACGAGGAAGGCTTAAACGAAGTACTTCGCTGAGGCAGAAATAGGATGGACAGAACCTGCAACACACGTTCTGCAGAAGCGAGTCACGCTGGTACTGGAGCCTGTCCTGTGCTTCTGTACTTTAGAGAGGATTTGGTCAAGACCCCACATATGCAGTGCTACGTATGGACTGTATTGTGACTCATGTTACAGAAAGCTTGAATGCTTTTCTTTCTGCCCCAAATTTGGAAAAATTGCAAATCCTTTCCTAAATTTGACTCACTGTAAGATTTGTTACACCCTTAACGTATCAGGGTATATATGCCCCATTATTAACACAATAGTCTACCTGGTTTGCAGTAAATGTTACAGTACCAAGAGTTATCTTGCTCTTATTTTACAGAGATTCTTGAAATACTAGGTACTTCCTGTTCTTATTCCTCCAAATCTGAGATCATCAGGCACAGGCTGTCCAGCCTTATGGTTTCATAAGCACCTGCGCATTGCAGGCTGACTAGAAATTATTTCTGATTCTAGATTCTGCTTTCTATGTATAATTTTTACCTACTATTTAATTAACATATATAAACTCATCTATATAAGTAGCTTTAAAATGGCATTGCAGTGCCTTTGGGCTAAAGCATAAGTGGATTTGATGAATGCTTAAGACAAAGTTTCTTTAATTTGGCTCTTGCAAACCAAGTTTTAAAATGTTTCCTCTGTTATACAGCACTGAATCCTATGTTTTAGGCATTATTTAACAAAAGAAATTAATTTCAAAAAGCATGTATTGCCATGATGAAGAAAAACTCCTGACAAAGTTGCAGATCATTGTCAAATGTTTTCCTGGAAACATTTAAAACTCTCTCCACCAGGAACCTTAGACCATTTTTCCTGATTATTTTGATAACACTCTCCTAAATGTATCTCACATGCAATTTGGCACATTTAGGCACTTAGATATATTCAACTGCATACAATTAAGCTGTCCATGACATATCAGGGAACTTGTTCCTTTTGAATAGTACAATTAAATCTTGCATATCAAGCATATAGAATTGCATACTTATGTTTAGTCAACCTGAAACAGTTTTAACTGGGACTAAAGCAGAACTCTGCATGTATAAACTTTCCAAGCAACTCAGAATAACAGCATTAATAGCTAAAAAGAATTATTGGCAATTGCAGCAGGGTAAGAAGTACCTGCTGGAACTTTTTCCAAATCCCTGCACTGGGAGAATCCTGGAATAAAGATGGTTGGTCCAAGAATTTTAAGTCAGTGAACTAGTTATTACTTTCATAGTGAAGTTTGGAAAAGCTTTGCTCTCTTGATTTTTTTCCCCTGTGGAAAGTTACTCTGCACTCCATTGGGAAAATATACTTTGCTGGTACAAATTCTGACTTTGAGATGCTTACTGAATTGGAACAATTTGATTCTTTCAGAAGGTACTGCTCACATACCCAGTTTTTAGAGCAGAAAGACCTTCTGACACCACTTTCCTCAATGTTTTGTTGTCCAGACACACTAAATTACAACTCCCATACATACCTGCATTTTCTTGGATTTAAAATACGTACTATTGCTTCAGGACTGTTTTAGCTCCTAGTAGTGCTATAAACTACCACCCCTGAGGCATCAAGCAGAGTGGAAAAAGGAAGTGCAGTCTCCAAGCCAAAACAGATAACTCAACTGAGCGCTGAGTGTATTATTTCCAAAGGTTAGCCACGTGGAACATACTCATATTTCTAGGAACCACTCAAAGGAGCAAGTGGTGTGCCAATAACCTGGAACTATACAAAGTACCAGCACAAAGAACCTTTTCAGGCATGCTTTACTCTGTTTTTGAGTGCACTAGATAAGGAGCTTTTATTGAGTTATCAAGCACCTTGAGCATCAGCAGTCACTGTGTATAGGCTGTTCTAGTGCTAAAAAGAGGACCATTTTGGTGTAGTGGTTAAAGCACCAGGCTAGAAACTGGGAGACTGAGTTCTAGTCCTCCCTTAGGCATGAAGCCAGCTGGGTGACGTTGGGCCAGTCCCATTCTCTCAGCCCCAGGAAAAAGGCGGCAATGGCAAACCACTTCAGAAATTTTGTCAGGAAAACTGAAGGGATTTGTCCAGGCAGTCTCCAGGAGTCAAAACTGACTCGAAGACGCACACGCACACACATCTCCAAAAGCAAGATCCCAAAAAAGCAAAAAAAGCAAAATCAAGAACATTCAAAATCATTACATGGATGATTTAGATACATTTACAACTATGAAGACAACATCTCTAATGGAAGGACAAGCTTGGACTTAAATAGAACCCAGCCTCAAGTGAAGATTGTAAATTCAGGATTCTCACCCCTTACCACAGCTTTGGGATCTTCATGGATTCTTTTTTCAAAACTGTCCTCTATTGTATTTACATCAGATATAGTTCCTTAATTGCTTTGTCTTGAATGGCATCAGCTTCTTCTTATGATGAAATACATTTTGGGCTTAGAAATTCAACTAGCCCTATCAGATCACAAAATAATTCGTGATAATGAGAGAATATCAATAGACAAAATTACTTCAACTCTTTATAGTCTAGGGGAAACTACATTTTGTCCACTTATTTCACACTTACTTCCATATAGATATGTTTAGGACTAAGCTTATCTGCCTTGTGTTTTTAGAAGATACCCTGCTCTTACTCTCTTTTCTATTCCAGATCAAAATGACTGTCAAAGCAACTAAAATGTCATGCATTGCCCCAAATGTTTATACTAAAGTGCCTGATGGAGGATGGGGATGGATTGTGGCATTCGCTTTCTTCTTTGTGGAGGCCCTGACGTATGGCATTATCAAGTCATTTGGGGTCTTCTTTACTGACTTAGTGGAAAGTTTCGATGAAACCAACAGCAGGATATCATGGATAATCTCAATATGTGTCTTTGTACTTACATTTACAGGTGAGCATATACTTAGATAATGGTTATATGAAGTCTTAGAATCCTGGTCTTATACAAAGATAACTATGCCTTAAGACCTGTGTTTTCAATGGGCTTAAAAAAGGCCTTACCCTGCATAAGACTTGGCTATACTACAGGTGGTCGTCATTTAATGACTACTCGTTCAGCAACTGTTCAAACGTATGACAGCACTGAATGATAGTTATGACCAATCCTTGAACTTGCTGCCATTGCAGCATTCCCCGCAGTCACATGATCGTGATTCAGGCGCTTAGCAGCTGGCATCCATTTACGATGTTCCGAGTGTCCTGTGGTCACGTGATCACCATTTGAGGCCTTCATGGCTGGCTTCCAGCAAGCAAAGTCAATGGAGAAGCCAGCA